CTGAAAACTGAAAAAAAACAGCCAGGTATGGTGGTACACAGATATAATGCCAGCACTCTGGGAGGCTGAGGCAAGAGGATCGCAAGTGCAAGCCTCGCCGGGAAACTTAGGAAGGCTCTGTCTCAAAGGGGGTTAGGGATGAGGCTTACCATGAAGTCCCTGGGTTCAACCCCCAGGACTGGATCTGGGGAGGGGAGGGTAAAGTAGGGTATGGTAGGGTAGGGTTTTGGCACCAGGGCAGTGCTGACTTTGTCAGATGAGCTGGTGAGCTTCTTCCCTTTTGGTTTCTCAGAATGGTTTGTGATGAATTCTTCCACGGTTTGGTAGATTTCAGCAATTAACCCATCCAGTCCCAGGTTTCTCTTTACTGGGAGAATTTCGCTACTGGTTAAATCTAGTTGCCAGTTCCCAGTTTCTTCAGCTTTCTGTGTCTTTGTGGTTTAATTTTAACAGTCGTTTGTCAGAAACGTGCCCACTTCTTTGCTATTCACAGTACCCCCAAAGGGTCCGTATGCTATTGTTGTCAGTGGGAAAGTCTCATTTTTCTTTTCTAAATTTTTTTTTTTTTTTGGGAGTCAGTTTTCTTCTTTGCTTTGGTTAAACTAGGTAAAGATTTGTCCATTTTTGTTATCTTTTCAGAAAACCAACACTTTATTTCATTGATCCTTTGGATATGTTTTAGTCTCTATTTTTTATTTTTGTTCTGATCTTTGTTATCTTTGCTTCTACTAACTTTGGGCCTGGGTTTATTATAAGTGTTTATTGCCATAACTTTTACTCCTAGTACTTTTCTTTTGTATCCCATAAATTTTTGGTATGTTTCAAGAAAATTTAAATTTCCTTTTCATTTTTTAATGGCCCATTGTTTGTATAATAGCATATTGTCTAATTTCCAAATTTTGTACAATTTCTAACATTTCTTTTGTTCTTGATTTCCGGTTTTATTCTGTTGTGGCCAGATAGCATTCATAAAATCATTTTGGTTCTTCAGGACCTGTTAAGCCCTTTTTCTGGCTTCATCTATGACCTGTCCTGAAGCGAGCTGCATGCAGTGAGACAAGGGTGTTTTCCTGCAGCTGCTGGGTCTGCCGTGCAGCTCGGTTGTGATGCCTCTCGGCTGACCTCTTGTTGGGGTGGTCTGTCCTTTGGTGAGGTGGAGTGCTGGGCTCCCTGATGTTATCGCACTGGAGCCTGTGAGACGAGAGCGGGCATCTACCACAGGCTACACTGGAGCCTGTCTCTCCCTTTGGATGCAGAGCTTGTTTGTGAAATTGGGTGCAAGCATTGGGTTTACATATATTAGCAATTGTGAGGTCAATTGTTAACAGTTGATCACTCGGTCATTATACAGAGATCTTTTGTCTCTCAAAAGTTTTTAGTTTCATGTCTATTTATTGGGCACAAATGCAGGTTCTCCTGTCTGTCTTTGGTTCCCATTTGTGTGGAAAATCTTTTTCCATCCCTTTGCTTTCAGGCTGTGTGTGTCTTTATAGATGAAGTGAGTTTTTGTAGGCAGCAGGTCGTGGATCTTGTTGTTTTGTCCATCCTGCCAGTTTACATCCTTTAATCCGACAGCTTCATTTTTCACATTCAGTGTCTGTATTGATACATAAAAACGAATACGTTTTTATTCCTTCTGTTTACCTTGACTAGCTTTCATTCTTTAGATCCATGAGATTGTTTTATCTCTCTTTTGTGTATTCATTCTTCTAGTGAGTTTTATATTTTGCACGCTTTCTTGAGGTAGACATTTTCCTTTCCCTTCCAAGTGTAAGCCTCCCTTAAACATCTTTTGTAAGGCCGTTCTGGCGGGGATGAATTGAGGGATCTTTTAAAAAGATAATTAAGCGAGGTAATTTTGCTCTTCCGCCCAGAATGCCCAATTCTTTCCCATCTTAATCAACGCTGCGGCTCTTCAGATGGTCTGCGTGAGTTCCCCACCTCCATTCTCGTGTAGTTTCTCCTCAAACTCCCTCTGCTGCCACCGTCCCCGTGTCTTCTGCTTCACTGAAACATTTCCGGTCTCCGGTCAGCATGCACTTCACATAATGTGCTTAATTACCTGTCCTACTACGGGCTGAAATTCAAACCTGCCATAAAAAGAACTCGTGTTTATCGTTCATTGACCATCACCGCATCCTCACTGCATGAGTGAATGAATGGAGGCGAATGAGCGAATGGTGTTACTGGTCCCAGGAGCACTGTCAAGGAGATGTTGTTCCAAGAAGCTCCGAGGAGTATTAATTCCTGGGCAAGATTTCCTGGACAGCTTTCCCTTCACGTGCACAGACAGACTAGCGGCACTTTGGGGTGTGGTGTGAGGCGCTGCGAGGCTGTGTCTCCCGTCTGACAGCACGGTCTGCGTGCAGGTGCTGGAGCTGCAGAGCCCGCCGCGGGCCAGCACAGTGGTGAAGGACTGCGTCCGCGCCTGCCTGGACTCCACCTACAAGTACATCTTCGACAACTGCCACGAACTCTACGCCCAGCTCATAGACCCGGTAAGAGGCATGGACGTTTTCTGATCATCGCCTTTCTGTTCCTAGTGTGCTTTTCCATAAACTTACAGTCATGCCAGACAGAAACCCGTGCTTGCTTAATTTCACATTAACCTCAGGCTTGAGAGTTTCCATGTTATTACTTCACGTTTGAGCATCGTTTTCATACGTGTGCACCAGCTCACTTTATGCAGTGAAGGTGGGTACACTGTGCAGGACTTTCATGTTGGGAATCGGTTTTGAGAGAAGGAAAGGATTTGCCCAGGTCTTGGCAGCAGATTGGGACTAGAGGTCAGGACGGCCACTCCACCCCTGCCTTGTTTCCGAACTTAACACTGCCCTTGTCATTTTACCTCACAACGGAGGCAGACGGACGGATGATGTTTATGGAACAGAACAGTTAAATTATTATCATATAAATTTCTTATTAAGAAATGTTTCAGGGCCAGGGATTTAGCTGTGATTCTACCGCCTGCCTTGAAAGTGCAAATTCCCGAGTTTGATCCACAGTACAAAAAAAAAAGAAAGAAATTTTTCAAAAATACAGGCGAAAACGCAGAGTTGGTCAGTTATTCCTGTATCCACTTCCCGCCCAGATGCCAGAGGTCTCCATTTAGCAATATCTGCCCTGCTGTGAGTTGCTCAGAGGCTCTGCCTGTCAGACGTGGGTGGCCTCTTACATGTCTGTCTTCTCGGGTCACCGCCCTTCAACAGAGGTGAACACAGTTGTTGCTTAGACTTGAACATGCTTTCGGACATGCCGGTGAACTTATGTCTTATTTTCTGTGAATTACCTGTGGGTTTGTCCCTGCTTTTTTAGATTTTGAAGAAACTGAGTGGTATGTTTCCTTTTTATCAGCCCATGTTTGCAGTGCACAGTGACTGCGCTCCTGGTGAGGAGTCCGTCCCTGCACACGACACCGCAGCTCCATTCTTTCCATCCCTTCCCTCCACCTCTTGCCGCTTCCCTTTTGTCCTACTTCCCATTGTCTTTTACGTTGCTGCGTCTTTGTAGCTTAAGGTCCTCATCTAAGGGAAGCTGCGAGATGTTTCAGCTGGCATCTGAGTGATTTCACCTGACATCATGACCCCAAGGTGCATCCATTTTCCCACATATGACTCAAGTTTATCCTTCTTTTTGGAAGATTAGTGCTCTCTTGAGTATAACATTACCTGTTAATACTTTGCTGATTTTGTTCTCTGGGACAGAGAACAAAAATTTAGAATTTGCGAAAAATTCTAAAATTCATCTAGACGCTCTGCTTTGTAGGTTATGTGGCATTTATGTGACCTCCCTCTTCACAACATACCTCAGTCTTCGCACTGGGGTTTTTAATGTACACCCTGATGTAGGTATTGCTACTGCCCCTGTCGAGCTGGATTTGGGGTTAACTATACTCCGTCTGATGCTCACCCTGTACCTCCTAGAATGCAAGACTGCCCGGCCCGTGGGACCTTCTGGTCACCTGGCCAAGGTGAACTCTAGACACGGTCAGGATGACGGCAGCAGTGCTTTTCCACATGCACTGGAGCTGGATGTCGTGTATCGTCGCCCCTTTCTGAGACCACTGATTGCTTTGCTAAACAGGAGGAAAGAAATGAATGCTGGAAGTAGGGACTGCATAAGCAAACAAAATGTAACCACACGCTCCCATGATACTCATCTGCTGTGCTACTTGGGCCAAAAGCAGACACACAGACCGATTAAGCAGAGCTGAGATCCCAGCAGTCCACCCCCGACAGATTCATGACAAGGCCTCCAAAAGCACACATGGGAGAAAGGCTAGCTTCCTCCCTGCGTATTCAGGACACTGAGATATCCACAAGCACAAGACTGAAACATGATCCTGCCTTCAACCCTGCACAGAATCAACTCAGGAAGGGCCCAGATCCCACATGTAAGACCTGAAACTAAAATCACTGGAAGAAATCACAGGAGAAAACATTGGTATAGGCAGTTATTTTCCAGATGAAGTCCAGCAGCACAGGAAACAAAAGCAAAAATTGACAAATATCTCATGGAACCCATTTGTATCCACAATACTTACTAATTAAAATTTTAAAATACCCAACTTATCCATACATGCTAAACTTTATATATAGTATCATAAATAAAAATAGCTATCAGCAAAGCAGGAATAAAACACTTTTAAATTTGGATGTGGTTGCATAATTTTGAAAAAAACATTTATTTGTCAGTAAGATTCAACAGGTAAAATTTAGATGCATTCATTTAAGAAATCTACAGAAGCAAGGTACTCTTTCACACAAGCACAAATCTCATTCAAGCAGGCTGTGGTGCATGTCTGTAATCCCAGCACTCTGGGAGGCTGAGGCAGGAGGATCACAAATTCAAGCACAGCCTGCACAGTTTAACAACTTAATGAGACCCTGTCTCAAACTAAAACTGAAAAGGAGTCAGAGATGTAAGAGTAATATACAATCATTAAGCTACTGTTTTGGATCTGTAGAGGGAGCAAAAAGTAGTAAACTGGATGACGCTGTTTTTTATGTGGCTGTGGAGACACTGGCACCTTTAGGCGCCTTTGGTTGGTGCAAAGCATGAGCCCAGTCTTGCTCCCCACCTGGAGCTGGACGGCTTCTCACCATCTGCTCAGCACCCGCGCTCCTTCGAATAGCATGGAACCAGGGAGTTGTTTTTTCTAAACCAAAGCCTCAGGCTTCCGGTACAGCTGCAGTGCTGGCGCTCTGCGCTAAGCCAGGGCTTCGGCTGCAGTCGGGGCACCCGACTCCGAAAGGCCCCGGTCCCTGAGGGTGTTCGAAAGCAGATGCCTGACTTTCCTAACGGGTTTGCTGCGACTCTGCTCACAGGAGCTTCACCATAGCCTGGCGCTGGCGGTGGAGCTGCCCTGGGGTGGCCATGAAACCACCCTCAGGGCCTGGGGCGCTGCCGCATCACCCCGCGCGCATTGGGCTCTCTGTGTGCGCCGCGCTGCCTCCTCTAACCTCCACTTGTCCTCACAGCGGTGGCAGGAAGCCTCAGACTCTTCTGTGATAAGCCGCTGTTGGCGGTTATAGGTTGAGCAGAGTCTATAAAAGTCTATTCCATTGTCACACTTCCTGGGGAATCAGTGGATCTGAAACTGTTAGCTTTCAAACACTGATTTGAGTGGGGCATTTTAGTAAATCAAACTATTCCAAATTCATAAAAAGCTCAGTAAGTGTAATGAAAAAAATGCACTTCCTTACAAGTATTTGATTCTAGCTTGATGTTTCCTTGGCTGCCCCGCCACTAATAATCACCTGGAGAGTTTATTGAAAGGAGTTCTTGGCTGCTTCAGACCCCTGAAAGAGACTAAGCCAGAAACTGCCTCTCTCACAAGTTATCCAAGAGACGCCTGATGCTAGTCCCCTGCTACCTTAAGTAGAACTTTGTTTCCACCTCTGTTTTTTGGGGGTTTTCCTCATTCTTTTCATTTCAGTAATCATCTAGAGAAAAAGAAACTTCATTGAAAATTCTGTTGTGAAAAGAATTCTATTACGTAAATTATCTGCCTAAGGGCTATTTTTGTCTAATAGTTTGTATTACAGTGGACCCTCGACTTACAAATTCAATTGTTGTGGATATTTGTAACTCAGGTCAGTGAAGGCTCAGTCTCCTCTACATGGCCTTCAAAGTCTCTCTGCCGTACACAGGCCAAGCTCAGTGTTCTTAGAGAGATGCTGGCCCACACAGGAAAGGATGCTGTCCTGTTTCTTCCAGGACTCTTTAAGGGCTAAGTCTGTATCTGAGACCATCTGGAAGCACAAGCGGCCAGCATTCGGGTTGTAACTCAAGACATTGGTTGTAACTTAAAACTAAAATTCCAGTTGTAACCCGAGTTGTTTGTGTCAGCTGGTAGCAACACAAGGGTCTGTTATATTTTCTAAGACTTGGGCTCCTCTTTCTCAACTTCCCAAAAGTTCCAGTATTCTCCAATTCTTGTGTAAGAGAAAAAAGCGAGATGTCTGTGGTATTGCTTAGTGCTTGGTGATGTCACACAGTGGTGACGATCGCAGAGGAGCCCTGGTCCCTGAGCGGGCGGCAAACCCCACCCACACATGAACCCTTTGCGGGCAGCATAGATCCTCACCGATGGGGGTACACTGTAGGCAGTGGGTGTAGTGACTGTGGCTTTGTTCAGAACATATGTAAGACTTTTCTTATTTACTCATTAGAAGTTCAAAGTAACAACTCAGTAACGGGTTTCTCGTCTATAAAACAGGCACAGTACCTTTCCTGTCGACTTCAGAGTGAGTGGGTCATAAAGTAGAAAGGAGGACTAAGTCTGAAAGTACCTGGCAAGTTATCAATCATTTCACAAGCAAAAGCACTTAAAAAGAGATGTATGTAGAAGACGGGACCTGTATTAAAGGATCATTTCCTCAGTGATTTCAGCAAAATGTAGGGCTTGGGTTGAAAGGCAAGTGAAATTTTAAAAAGAGAGGTCAGCATCCCAGCATCTACAAGGATCTCTGTGCAGTTATGTTTGGAATACTCTAAAAATCACTACTTAAACCTTCCGGGAAATACTGACATTGTTAACTTCATTGATTTGATTTGATTTGTGGGAGTGTATATAAAAATACAAGCAAGATTTACCCTCTATGCATATTCTTGGCTATAATCAGTAGTTTCCATTTATCATCGTAAGCAACAAAACTGTGTAAATAAATGCTGTCACATTAATGCAGTGTGATTTAATGTGCTGATTATGTAGTCTCTTAAGAGTCTTATATTTAGTAGCAGGTCTCTTCTAGCCTGCAACTCTTCAGAGTGGTCTCAAACAGAAGGTGTAAAACAAAAATACAGCAAACCTTCGCTGCACCGCCTTGCAAAATGTGGGTGCCGCCTGGTTATCACCTGTGGCGTGGATGCAGCCTCCCGTCGGGCTGGGGTGGTGACAGACTGCAGTGCTGGCGCACTTCCTTCGCGCTCTGCTCCCCAGCAAGCGAAAGGGCAGTGGAGTCTCAGAGATGAGCGCGTCCCTCCTCACCCTGCA